CCCTATTTTGTGTCAGGGCTTGTTTTGAAGTTTTATGTGTGTAAGGCAGAGAGTGAAGAAAAAAAAGTCACATTTTAAACGGCAGCACGTGTTGTAAACAGATGTCACAATGGGACTCCTTGCTCAGCCGGGGGGCAGCACACCCGCGGCTCACTCACCTGGCTGATGAAGTGCTCCTTCTTCACGTGGCTGGAAATGTACCTGATGGAATCCGCAGCCTTTTCCAGGAAAGCAACCAGGACCTTTTCTCCATCGCTCACCTGCTTCTGTTTCGTTTTATCTCGGACTTTCCCACTCACTGGTTTACCTTCATCTTTATCTGGGAAAGAATAGCGATCCACGTGGTCCTTCATGCAAAGTAAGGTGGGGAGTTTTTGCAGAAACAGCCTCTTCACCCAGGGGGCCATGGGGTGGTAGGTGGAGGACGACCGGTGGTGGACGTTAATGACAAACACGGTGACGATGATGGACAGGGTGACGAAAATCATGATGAACAGCAGGTACTCCCCGATGAGCGGGATGACCTTGGAGGAGGACGGGATGATCTCCTCGATCACCAGGAGGAAGACTGTCAGGGAAACCAAGACGGACGTGGACAAGGAGAGCTTCTCTCCCTCATCGGAGGGCAAGTAGAAGACCAGCACGGTGAGAAAGGACAGCCCCAGGCAGGGGACGATCAGGAAGAGCGTGTAGAACAGGGGCAGACGGCGCAGCACGAAGGAGTAGGCGACGAACGGGTACCAGCCCGCGCCGTCCCTCCTGCTCCCCTGCGTCCCCTTGGCGGTTAGTATTTCCCACTCGCCGTTGTCAAAGAAGTCCTTTCGGTCCACGTTCTCGTCCACCAGGACGAGCTCCACCAGGGTCCCGTCGTAAGTCCAGGATCCGAACTTCATGGAGCAGTTCTGCCTGTCGAATGGGAAGAAGGTGACGTCCATGGTGCAGGAGCTCTTGTAACTGGCGGGGGGCGTCCACACCACCGTCCCGTTGGACCTCACTATGGCTTTAGTCATGAGCGAGCCTTCGAACCGTCCATCGGCGCTGCGGAAAAGCGGTTGGCTTAACGGTTATTTAGTTCAACACTTATTACCTATTTCCACCCCACCCCACCCCCGTTCTATTTGTATTTCATGACTTTCTTACTCCAGCATCAAACAATATTTCCCAAAGGAACAATTCTCTTGTTAAAGTTGTACCTTTCTCTTAACTGTTTTGTCCAAATCAGGCTATTCTATTTCTACCCCAAAATCTGACCAGTGTCCTTTTCTTGGGTGATACTTACTTTTCAAAGAGAACTATGTCAGGAAGCCAGAGGGACTCGGATGGGACTTTAATGGAACGGATTCCACCGTATTCATCCGGATCCCAGCGTAATTTGTGGTCTGTCCATTCCTGCATGAAATTAATATACTAGAATTTTATTCTGAAAATTCAAGGTGGTAGGAATCCTCAAGTTTGCATTAATTTACTAATAATATATTTTATTTTAGAAGGGAAATTCATCCATTTTAGGCTGTATCATCCTATCTAAGGCTCAGGGCAGTTCAAGATAAAGCTGGAGTCAACCTGGTCTTTGATGGTGCCCAGGCCCTCACACCTGTCCAGTCTGGGACTTCCAAAATTGCCTCATCTCCCTCACAATGAAGAGGTTTGGCAACAAACGCCACTGATCATAGACCATGGTCTATTTTTTAAGCCTGCTGTCTCTTAAGAAACCCCCAAAAAGCAAAGATAGATCTAACTCAGTTTCTTCCAAGAGAGTTGGTCTAGTGATGTTGTAATCTCATGATAATGGGTACAAATGATTCTGTCAACCAAGCGTCTTAGACAAATGTCCACCCAGTAGGTTCATATGAAACATCCAGTACCTCCAGACCACCCTTGAAGACATTATAACTTTTATTCAATGAAAAAATGTTTTCCAAGAATTTCCTTTTACATTCTAATCTGAATTGATTTTGTGAGCCCCAATGACTGTTTTAAATTCTATTCCTAATGTTGTTAGTCTCCAGAGGCTTACATAGTTTTTCCTCGTAATAGAATGAAATCATTTGGCATGTTTTCCAGAGGCTGATGGATCCAGATGAACAAACTTGACTATTAATTGATTGGATTATGCAGGTCAAGAGGATGATGTATGGATGACCCAATTACAGCAGAAGTGGACTTTCTTAAAAAGATCTTATGAAATCTGACCTGAAAATTAAATTCCTCCATTCCACTGTCCGTCACGTGGACAGTTGAGTAATGATCTGGGATAATATTAAGTGACATTTCAGAAAGTTAGGAGGGTAGCCCAGTGTGAGGCTTCCTAGAGCCCAGTGATGCCAATGTTGTCATTAAAAAATCAGGAGACAGCAGATGGATGACTCATTAGATGGTAAAATGTTGAAATATGCATGATGCCTGGAAAAAGATGGACGTATACACTCCAGATGAAACATTGTCTCCCTTAGACAATATTTGTGAGGCTTGATCCTTGAAAAACAAATTTTATAAGATAGGGGTCTTTAAAAAGCTACAATGTAAAGGATTAAAAAAATTGCATGACTACTTATGGAAAACCATACACATGAAGACTGACAGTTGAAGAAGCCAGCCCCAACTAACGAAGTATTTACCATGTTTACTTGGAACTTACAAGCTTCTCCCTTCCTTCCTCTTCCTCTTCCCATTTTGAAAAGCAAATATAATTTCCTTCATATGAATAATCTGTCTCCCGCTAAGGAGACTTCCACCATTAGCAGCAAGTCTGAATCTCAGAAATGTTGATGGGAACTCAGAGCAGCATTTTTCGTTTGTTTTCACTTTTACGTTTAGAAATTTTACTTGCAATAAAGTTCATTCTGTTGGCCTACAAATGTAGGCCAACAGTTGGATAATCAGTAACATCATTAAGACACCAGAACAGCTCTGCTGCCCCCCAAGTTTTCCTCGTGCTGCCCGTTTGTGTTCAGCCCCTCCCTCATCCCCGGTTCCTGGCAATCACCGATCTATTTTCCGATCCTGTAATTTTGCCTTTTCCAGAATGTCATATAATGGAATCACACAGTCGATAGCCTTTCCATCCTGACTTCTTTTACTTATCATTATGCATTTTTAATTCTTCTATGTTATATTAGTAGTTTGTTCGTTTTTAGTAGTGAGGACACCACGATATGAATAGACCACAATTTTTTTTTAATCCATTCACCAGGTAAAAATATTAAGATTCTTTCCTGTTTTTAATGATTATAAAGAAAGCCACCATAAACATTCTTTTTTTTTTCTCTTAGGTTTTACACTTAGATCTAAGATCAATTTTGAGTTAATTTTTGATTACGGGGATGATAAGAGTTGAGGGTTTTATTTCATATTGATGTCCAATCGCTCAGCGCCTTCTATGGAAAAGACTAAACATTCTCCATTGAATTACGTTCTCACGTTTGTTAAAAGTCAATTGACCATCTATGTGTGACAGCCTATTAATGGGCTCTTTGTTTTGTTTCCTTCATTTGTGGGTCTCTCTTTTCTCCAGCACCACACTGTCTTGATTACTACTGCTTTCCAATAAGTTCTGAAGTCACATAAAGTGAGTCCTCCAACTGTGTTCTCCCTTTCCAAGTTATTCTGGCTACTGTAGTTCCTTTACTTTCCATATAAATTTTTGCACCCATTTGTTGCTGCCTGCAAAACAATCCTGCTGAAATTTTAATTGTGATTGATTTGAATCTATAGATTGGTTTGGGGAGAACTGAGATCACAATACTGAGTTTTCTGACCTGGGAATATCATTTCTCTGTTCATTTATTTAGGTCTTCTTTGTTGTTTTTTAATCAGTGTTTTGTAATTGTCAGCTTACAGACCCCACGCATATTTAGTTAGACTTATACCTACTTTATGGGTTTTTTTTATTTGGATGGTATTGTAAATGGTACTTGGAAATTTTCTAAAAATCCAATTGCTCATTGCTAGAAAGTAAATACACAGCTGACTTTTGTATATTGACCTTGTATCCTGTGACCTCATTTAGCTTATTTAGTTTTAGGAGATTTTTAATAGGTTTTCAACATAGACAATTATGTCATTTGCAGATAGAAAGTTTTGGTTCTTTCTTTTAGATTGGAATGCTTTTTATTGCTTCTCCTTGCCTTAATTCACTGACTAAAACCTCCAATATGACATTAAATAAGAGTAGGTGTTCTTGCCTTTTTCCTGATCTTGGGTGGAAAGCATTTAGCTATTCATCAATAACTGTTATGTTAACTGTTGGTTTTTGTAAATGTCCTTTATTTGATTAGGGAAGATTCTTTCTATTTTTAGTTTGCTGAGTTTTTTAAAACTCATGATCATTTAATTATATGATTAAAGACTATTCTCCTTTAATCTTTTAATATAATGAATTCTAGTGATTGAGTTTCACATATTGAACCAGCCTTGCATTCCTGGGATCCACCCCACACGGTCATGATGTACGGTTTTTCTTTCTTTCTTTTCCTTTTTGCAGTTTTATAATTTTTGTTCTTAGATAAGAAAAAATAGTTAGACCTTTGATTTACAGAGAATGAGGATGCATTGGCAAGGAAGGTGTTTCTCTGACAGTTTTCCTGATGTTGTTTGAATTCAGACCAAAATACAACTGAGGTTTCTTTGAGAAAAGATAAAGGCAATGAAGTCGGTGGCATGTGCCCTTGTGCTTTTGCTACTGAAGCATTTTTTTGAATCTTGTTTGTAGGGGTTATAGGAGCATTTGGTTTGTAGGAATTTAATAATTCACTAAATATCTGATACAAGTCTGGGCTAATTACAAGAAAGGAAAACAACCCCTATGTTTAGCAGTGTCAGATGCTTTTCACCTCAGCTTTGGGGAAGGTTTGCACAATTATTTAAAGAAAAGTGTGGCATACTTTAAAAACTGTTTTTGTTATCAATGACAGTCATGCTGATAATAAAATAAAAATAATAAAATAACCATCAAAAAATAAAACTTCTCTGATGACATTCTAAGACTGGCCTAAGTGCTTTACTTTTATTAAAGCCATTTTTTTTTTCAGGGGGAGGGTATAGCTCAGTGGTAGAGTGTGTGCTTAGCTGGGTTCAACCCCCAGTCCCTCCATCAATCAATCAATCAATCAATCAATAAACAAACCTAATTATCTCCCCCCCAAAAATAAATAAAAACAAACAAAAAATAAATAAAGCTTGTAGAATAGATAAATAAGATCATACTGTATAGCACAGGGAAATATACACAAAATGTTATGGTAGC